ATTACGGATTCCAAATTGCATTACAAAAATTTTAGTTAGTAACGTAATCCATTACATTACAAATTGTAGGTAATGTAATATGACTTTTTGTGACTTAAATTTTTTGATTACTTTTAGATTACCTTTTTGACCTAACTCATGTATCACATTGATTTAAATAGGATAATCTGGTACCATATTGATATAAAAATACAAAGAGAAAGAAAATTAATTCCATTCGTTGTTATTAAAGATGAAAAAGAAAATTAGGGAGGATCAATAAATTATGAATGATTTATTGCCATTGTAAATTTTAAATTTAAAATGTCAAATAATCTAATTACAAGTACTTAATTTTTGGAAACTGATTACGTAATCCAGATGACATGTAATCAGTTACTACCCAGGGGTGCTTTTCCCAAAACCAACTATGGGTGCAAGTTCCGTCGTTACCAATAGAGTTTATTGGAGCTTGCGGCCAAAGTTAGCTAACGATGCTTTTGGGAAACGCACCCCAGCAAATTACACACAATTATATTTAAACGTAAATTTTGAAATTCGTGATAAAAACGATAAAAACGTGCTTCTGTAACTAGGATGCATGCAAAGAAATACTTCTAAAGTTCTTATTGTTTTCCCATGTTGTAATGATTATCTCAGTCTGAGAGATGTGCATATGATGAACTACATCTGAAGCTGATTGCATCGAGCTCCTCTTCACCACAATTTTCTTATAAAGACTCTAGCTGAGATTTAGGCTCTCATTTTGACTTTGTTCTTTTGTTCCCCTCTTTCTCTCTCTGTGTCTCTCTCTCTCTCTCTCTCTGCGTTTCTGAGTTAAGAGTTGCTTTGACTTGACAGCACAGTGGATTTAGAAGTACTACGAGAGGATCACATTGTAACTTCTGGAGTCACATGTTCAAATCTGGAGTCATTGAGCTCATGTCAGTGAAAGGAGTGCTGGGAATTCTGTTAGAGCTCCTCGCTGAGGCTTTTTAGATGACATTTTAGAGTTCTCAGCATGCCTGTGCTCTCATAAACACGAAAGGACTATACTGTGCTCTTCTAGTGAGAAACATATTAGAGAAGTGACACTAAACTGATAGCATTTAACTAAGATAAACCCATAGGACAGTTTTATCAGTCAGAGGTAAATTTTTCATTGATTGGGAGAGCTTATAAAGCATGTCAGTCCACTCGTTTGCCACACTGGAAACAGTGCCAGTCAGCTCCTTTCCTTTCCTTTCCTTTCCATTCTGATAAATTTGTAGATTTGACCTTTTTATTTAAAGTTTTTTTTTATTTGCTTGTTTAATAATAATAATAATTATAATTGTTTTTTTTTTTTACTTTTTTACCTCTTTTTCTAAACTTGTATCATAACTGTCAAATAAAATAATTTGGGTGTTGTTGGAGCAGAATAAAATGGCAATAATGTTAAATTCAGTGCATTTTAACTTTATTTTATTTATTATTAGTAGTAGTAGTAATAGAAAGTAAATAATAATAATATTTTTTTTTAATTTAAGCTTTTTCTGCTGAGCCTGTGCTTGGATCATTTAAACTTTCACATAGAAAAGCAATATCACAAAGGTAATCTTTTTAATACCTCAATTGTTTCTCCTAGCAATGAGAATAAAGGACATTTAAACTTTTTCTTCAGTCTTAAGTTTCATTAGTTTCCTCTTCACATTTCTCCTCCATTCTTGGAAGAATTTGATGAGTAATTTTCAGTTCTTTTTGAAACCTCTGACTTTTTATTATGGACAGTCTTGAGCACAATTGATTTTTCCCCCTCCTGAAACTCTGGAAGAGAAATGTGAAGAGGAAACTAGTGAAACTTAAGACTGAAGAAAAAAATGTAAATGTCATTTAGTCTCATTGCTAAGAGAAACAATTGAGCTATTAAAAATATTACCTTTGTGATATTGCTTTTCTATGTGAAAGTTTTGTAAAAAAACAAAAAACAGTAAGCTCAAAGGTGTATCTCAAAACAGCTGGTGTTTTGCAGTATTGCATTGTTGTGATGATGGTGTATACTGTTCCTTAGGGTTGGAAACGGATTCCCTCAAAGAACGAACCATTAGCCATCCAAGGCATTTGATCCCAGATGAATACCATCCTTCTAAGGCAACATTGTGTGAAAAGTTAAAGATGTAATTCATTTCTACATCATACTTTGCCTTTGGCCGTGCACTGCCATCCCCTACTGGGAGAAGCTGCTGTCTCACCCACACCATCACCTCCTCATGCTGCAGGTGTCCTTGGACTCAGAAGGAAACTATTCAATTAGTAAATAACCAGGATAAAAGGATTATAGAAAGTAAGAGCTTTAGGAGAAAAGGCGACATTAGATTTATGATTGATCTGGGAGGCAGGGACTGACGGAGGAGGGGGGACGAAGGGCAAGAGGGATTCAGTAGGTAGACAGAAGAAACAAAAGAGCCCTTTCATTTCTCTTCACATATCTCTTTTTTTCGTCCCCACCTGCCTCCTTTCCTTCTCAGACTCATTTTATGAAGTGTCATCACTCCTTACGCTCCAGGACTCCATCAGGGGCACTCCTTCACCTCATTGTCCTCTTACGTTTTAATATGCTTGTGTTTAATATGCTTGTATTTAATTAAACACACATTGTGCTGCCTTAACAAGAAGCTGGAGTATATAGCGAATAAGGAATGTAAATCTGCAGTGACAAAGTGCTTTTTTGTGATGATTAAAGTTAAAGGTGATGTGTGTGTTTCCATACCACCAGCCTCGCTTAATGGAATTGCCATATAATGACTGTTATTAAAGTTTCATGAACCCCTTCTTCTATTGGTCAGGTCAGTCAATCAGATAGTCCCACCCCCAAATTCATGCCATTGGTTGATTCATTGTTGCTGTTGTTGGGGTGGTTGTGATGCTCAAACTAACAAAGCGATGTTTTCATAGTAGAGACACAGTGTTTACACTTTGCAGGGAAATCAACTCTTGATTTTGACTGCAGTTTCCAGTTTTGTTTTCAGGGTGGCAAGCAAGGGTTGGTTCAACTTGCGATGTGAATGAAATGAATAATTTAATTATTAAATTCTTTATATGTAAATTCTTTAATTATTTATATGTAAAGAAGCTTATATTAGAATTTTAAATGAGAAATGAAGTCGACCCAGGCTATGTTCAAAATGGAATGCTAGTTCTGTACTGGCTATATGGAATAGCACTATACTTTTATCATAGATTTCTGCAGTATCTACACTACCATTCAAAAGTTTGAGGTCTGTAAGGTTTATGTTTTTAAAGAAATTAATACTGTTTTTCAGCAAGGATGCAATTTAATTGCATCAAAAGCAACAAATCTTCGTATTAGAATGATTTCTGAGGGATCATGTGACACTAAGACTGTATTTTCACAGCGAACACTGTATTTTCACAGTGTGCTCTCACTGTATATTGCACAATCTGGAAAATGCAGAAGTCCATCCAGATATTCCAAGCATACAGAAAAACTGTGCACAGTGTATATAATGCAGAAATGTTACACGCATGGACTGCTTTTCCAGTCAATACCATACTGTTTGCGGACTTTCAGTCATGTCTCTCTCTTTCTCATCAAAATATTGGAAGTTTCACCAATATTTAACATGGGAATTAGCATAACAGAAAGAGTTGTGTGTGCTTTGAAAAGAGATTCAGACTGCTGAGAGCCATTTCATGTAGTTAAGAGCCTGTCTGTACTGCAGTCTTGCATAAAGTTCTTTTCTTGTGAATGACAAAACAAAACTCGATTTTATCCCAATTCTCAGATCACCAATCCAGAATACATGTAATCAGTTACTACCCAGCTCTGGTGATGACTGCGTTTAAATACGTGATGAGTTATCCTAAATTATTGTTTCTTGTGTGTACGGAATGAGAACTCACTCTCCAAACTGCGATGATTGACAGCATGGTAACCATAGCAACGTTCTGGCATCTTGCCATTTATTATGTGCTATTTTTAATCAAAGTAATTTTACAGCGATCAAAGACTCGTTATGTTCGGTGATTTTAACTAAACCACCATAATGCATTAACAGAGCCATTGTGTTTTGTTTATGTTTGGAAGGCTGCTTTGCAGAGTGCACTCTTGAAGGGTTGCCATGTCCACTTACTATAAGTAACACTTATTAAGCGTCTTTAGGCTTGTTTGGGTTCGGCTCATAAAGCTATCCACTTTATGGAGTTAATAAAGTAGGCAGGTGCAGGTCACTATTTTTTGGTATGTGGCTTATTTCCAAGATAACACGTTTGGATTTAAGATTTGATATCTTGCACCGCACATACAGAAAAGACACAAATCTGATATATGTTCAAATTCGTCATTAACAAGACGTTGTTACTCCTGTAATTTACTGCAGTATGTGTGAATAGAACAGGATTAAGCACTAAAAGGTGAATTAACAACCAAATTGAGCTGTTCAACCTAACACAGTTGAAGTGTTTTAGCTTTGGCCCAAACCACAGGGGGCGCTATAGCAGGTATTAGCATAAACTCGTATTCCTCCACACTCAGTTGTCCATTGTAGATTAACTACTCTCATAATGTACATAGCAACTGTTTGGACAGGCTTTACTATCTGTCTGGGTGACAGAATCCCCCCTCGGGGTTTAATAAAATATGTCTTTCTATTGAAACGAGATGTCCTGCAAGTCCCTGAAGAAATTATGCTTGAAATATATATCCATTCAATTATTTCCACTGTGTATGTGTGTGAATAGGTAAAATATATGCAATTGAGAAAGTGTTATATCTTGTCTGCCTTTTATAATCAGAATTTAAATCAGCCCAGTGATTTAATGTGAATTATTATGAAATTTTCTGCAGTAACTTCGTTTGGTCCAGAAAATGAAAAGCTCTATCTTGTGTGATCATTTTCCTGGTTAAACAGCATCTGATTTCTATTTTATTCTGTTTTCAAGCAGAATCCAAACAGAGGCATCAGTGTGAGACCACATTTCTCTTTAATGTTCTGTAGAAACAGCTTTTGAGTCTGGTGGTGTTTCATTACAGACATAAAGTTTGAGTTATGAAAAAGGGAGGAAGAAAGATGAAGGACAGACCGAGGAATATGAGGAAGGTGTTAGTATGGTGCACTTGTATGTTCAAAAATGCAGTTTGTCGACAATGTACAAAGAAAAAGTACATGAATACAAAATAACTTCCTCCTTCCCTCGACAATGTCATACACAGTCTTTTGTCAATAAGTGACATATATTCTCAAACAAATAAATGTTCACATTGGATATGTCATAATATTCTCAGTTCACTTTAGTATAAAGGTAGAGAGTCTTTGAGGAGGGACAAGGTAGAGGTGGGGGAAAGTGCTATTACCCCACATGTCCAGAAGGGGGTTCTGTGACTTTTTCATTGACAATTTAACTCTCAGTTTTAGGATCCCAATACAGACGTGTTTGATGGCTCAACAGCAGCAGGGGTCAGAGATGGTGAGTGACACACACGTTTTTCTATGGCTTGCAAGGATTAATCTGGATTGCAAGGATTATTACCTCAGAACTTCCGTTGACTTTCTATATGGAGCTGTTCAGTTTGTACTCCAAAAAAACCTGGATGAGAATTGGCATTTTTGGGCAATGGGTTCCCTCTGGAGTTTCTAAAGGGTTTTCTGATTTATAGAAAGTGGTTTCTAGAAAGAAAGAAAGTGGTTTCTGATTTATAAGTAAAATAAGGCCTATATATATATAATTGCTAACAAGTGGCTACATAAGGCCTACAGAGGTTGTTTGACCCACTGAGCATGTAAACTCACATACTTTTGATACCTGTAGTTGCACTCCTTATTTAGCAACTTATTTACAACGTATCGATAAAACAATCCATGATGTGGGTGTAACTCTGTAATTTATGTTCATATAACAAGTCTTTTAACGTAATGATTTGGTACTTTAATATTAAGTTTAGTCCTTCTCATGTTGTTCCAAACCTATATGCATTTATTTTCTGTTAATTTTTGGGTGAACCATCCCATTAACATACAGTATTTACTATATATTATAGCATTTTTATTTATTAATATTTATTTATTTACTTACATAAATTTTTCTCTGAATTTTTTTTCTCGCTTGTTGGCCCCTAGTCCCCAAACCCCAGTTTGGAAATAAATGGTCTAATAAATTACCCCTGTTACATTTAATGTGAAACTATAACATTTCTGTAATAAACCAAACTACTGTTACTACACAGTAATATATGTACATACATTTGCACTTTACTTCATTAGTGGTATTTATAATGACAAGAAAATCTATCTATTTGAGATGTTTTTCTATTTTGGTTTAAATCAAAAATCGCTAAAAAACCCTTAAGAGCTTCCTGAGGGAACCTATGGCAAATTAGCCTTCCAGGTTGGCCTCAATGTCTGTGACTGAACAGCTGTGTTTCTCCCTTTGTGAAATTTCCTGTTTTATTTTCCAAAACTGTGCCGTGTGCAGATATTAATGTTGTGTTGGTGTTGTTTACCTTCTAGGTTAGCACATTATTGCAGCTGAGCAACAGATAATGCATGATGCTTTTTGCATGAGCTCCACTTGACCTTTTCATGTTTCATGTAACTTTTGCCTTCTAGTTTTTATGCAAAATACTGTCTTAAGGGCACAATCAACGAATAACAACACACACAAACCCAAAGCCATCGCATAATCCTTCATAAACTCTACTTTTTCTTTACTGACCTCGCCAGCATAGCAGCTTTAGAACAGTAGAATTTGATTGCTAATTCACACTGTGACAGCAAACAGCAACTTTTGGCTTTGTTGGATCAACCCTGTTAGCATTTGTTGGGGCTGTGTGAACCAGCTTTAAAAAAAACCTCATAACTAACCCAATCGCTCTCTTGTGTGCTTGGCTTTCATTTTCATGTTGTCAGGTGCTAAAGGTGTTAACAACAACCCTCCCACAGAAACTGCTGAGATGCTAACAGGTTAGCGAAGCAGCCCCTTTGTACATTTGTGTAAATGGTGGGTTTATGTATTTCATTCACACTCTTTCCCCCCGCTGGGCTGCAGCCTGGTTGAAGGTTAAGATAGGGATTCGGAGGTTTTAATGGAGATGAGCTTGACCACAATGAGCTGCTAATTATTCTGCAGAGGTGTGATGTACAACTGAATGTAATTAACAAATACAAATGTTTTTTTTGTTGTTGTTATTGAATATGCCCTGGTCTAACAGGAGCAACAGGAAATGGTGATGATGGAGGAGTAGTCCATTTAGTGTCCCGTCTCTCCGTCTCTCGCCCACAAATCCCAGAGTTTCTTCCCATCTCCGGTTTAATTCCAGGCCTGCAACTTCGCACAAGTCCTCTGTCCCTCGAAAGGGGCTCACTGTCATACACATGTACACACAAACGCACACACACACACACACACACACACACACACTGAAGTGTAGGAGCCAGAGTAGACAGAGGGCTGAGTTGTTCCGTAAAACAATTAGTAGAGGCTTCCACGAGGCTCAGCGGAAAATAAGGGCAGTGAGACACACCAATAAGCAAAGAGTGATGATGAAACAAGGTGCCAAGAGGGACGCCGCCCTGCTGTTCACTCTTTGCACGCCACTAGGGGGACCCACCGAAGTCCGTGGGATGCATTTGTTCTTTCGTCTCGGTTTTGACGGGTCCGATTCCTTGTTGGCTAACTCCTTTAGGGTATACACCTCATTCTGAGCATTTCCCTTGCGGCTTCGATGCCTTGTGCAGTTCCTGTTGCGTCCCGATTTGGGTGGTCGAGGGAGCGGCGATGGGGAGGTGGGGTAGTATTGATCCTGATGTGGCAGGTGAGGATGATGATGATGATGATTACGCGATCGATGATGATGATCTTTCTTCAGCGACACCCCTACGTCCCCCTGACTGGATTTGCTCTGGTGGAGCGACTCCGAGCCCGTACAGGAAGGCAGCTCTTCTTTCGTCAACCGTTTCAGATCCTTGCCCGCCAGCTCCGGTGGAGCCACGCATATTAACGAGGAGGTGGAGCCACGGAAGCGCCGCAACCAATCCCAGAGTGGCACGGCCTTGCAGTCACACTCCCAAGGGTTGTCGTTGAGACGCAGGTACTCCAGCGCTGGCAGCTGAGCCAAGCTTTCGGCTGGAAGTTCAGGTAAGGAGTTGTTAAACAGGTAGAGAGTCGTCAGGCGGCGCAGGTCGTGGAAAGCTTGTTTGTGTATCCACTGGAGTCGGTTTTGATGGAGCAGTAAACGATCAAGGACCCCCAGGCCACGGAAAGTGTTCTGGTGGAGGCTCCACAGCCGATTTCCATGCAGAAATAAATGGCTCAGATTCAGAAGATCAATGAACATGTCATCCTCAAGAAACTCCAGCTGGTTGTTCTGTAGAACAGCAAGTAAACAGCAACAGTCAGTAACAAGCACTGAAAAAACAAGTCACACACATGAATATCCAAAGTGACAGTGTTATTGTTTTTGTCTTTGATGACATATCTAGGCAAATTTAGTCAATATTTCATCATGTTGTGTGGATTAATTTTAGCCCGTTTTACTCTGACTGATCATTTCACTACAAAACAGCTCAAATAACAATGATTGGATTATTTGAATGAGAAAACATCGACAAAACCGTAAAAACATTGTTGGTGTATTGGTAATATCTCACAGTATATTAGTTTTTCTCATCATAATTTCAACGGTATTACTTATAAATAATTTTTTGTTTAATTTAATTATGTTTTTAATTATGTTTTTGTCTTGTTTTTTTTATTGTCTGAGAAATAATGAAAAAATTGTTGTTGATGAGATTAAAGCTGCAAAACATATTCGAGGAAAGAACCCAATCAAATCACGTGAATGCTTCTGTGTCCTTTTCATAAAGACAGTTCAAAGATGAATCATAAAATTGGAAGACCTTGGATATTCATACTGGACCATATTAGATATTAGATTTTCCCTTGTCGTCTGTACTTCTTTTATAAGAATCTTTTCAAACATCCAACATGCCTTCAGTACCTTGTGTTCTCTGGACACAATGTAGTGAAGGTAAATATATTTATACACCATTTGTGAACTTCTAACCTTTGCACTGGTATTAATAATAAATAGAAATGCGTGACGGTGCAGTATTTGCACAGATTGGCATGAGAGCAGTTAATATTATGCGTATTTGTTTTATTTAATTGTTTATTAGAAATATGAAAGTCATTTGCATATGCCAAACTACCGTTTGGTCAGTTTGGTCTGCTGTTCTTGACACATTTTGCTTTGATAATAGAATAGAATTAAGAAAATACAAATATTTATTTCTGATATATTAAGCAATTAAAAAAAAGTATATATATATATATATATATATATATATGCACTTTCATGTCAAAAACATTTTGGATTATGTTTTAGTATTTGATCCTGTTACTGCGCTATGATCTTTTTCAGTTTAACCACAATATCCATAATCTTGAATATATGACTAGCCTTATGAAACCTCATGAAAGGTCAGAAACACTTAACCTTAAACATAAATCAAATTCCAAGAGTTGTGTGTCCGTAATGTTCTTTGCACCTGAAGAGTATGTTTCCTTTTTGACATTTTCATTAGAAAGAAATATTGTCTCTGGTCATCGTTTTAGTGCAGCACTTTTTGCTGCCAATGCTGATATTGAATATTTTTTTGAGCCGATCTTATCTGGATTTATTTGGCAAGTCAGATGATTCCTAAGCAACAGTCTTAAAAAAAAATGATATCCATTCAAGAAGGGCATTTTTGCTTTCTTTAAAATGGTATTGTATCCAGTCAGATTTTCTAAAGTGTCAGCACAACCATTCCAAGCCAAGCGTCTTATAAATTCACACTCAATTTGGCTGAAGAGGACCTAAATATGATATATTTACACAGCACGTCAGACCTAGCAGAACGGACACATTAATAACACTGAAAACTTAGGAATCATTAATCTTTTATATATGTTCTTTGTTACTATATGTACTATAGTAGCACATTATAAATAATGCCATCAGCTATTGCTTGTTACAAATGGCACCTGACCTGTTTGTCAAATCACTCAGATCTATTTTTCCAAATGTTGGCAAAACTTTGAGAATATAACACCCACCTGTAAATAGAGGTACTGCAGGTTGTGCAGCCCCTCAAACAAGCCAGCAGGCAGAGTGATTAGGCCACAGTGGTAGAGGTGCAGAGCATGGAGTCGGGTCAGGCCCTGAAAAGTGTCAGAAGCCAGAGAGCGGAGGTGTTTGTTGTCCCCCAGATCGAGCTCCTCCAGGCGGGTGAAGCCCATGAATGTGGAGGGCTGGATGTATGAGATATTGTTGGAGTAGAGCCAAAGCATGACTGTGGTGGGGCTGAAATGGCCCTGTAGCAGTCGCTGGATCTTGTTGTTTTGCAGAAAGACGCGCTCGCTCTGAGCCGGGATTTCCTCTGGAACCACCAGGAAGTTGTGAGCCTGGCAGCTAACCGTGCTGGGAGAGTCGTAGCAGATGCAGTGACGGGGACACGCCTGGGTCAACTCTAAACCACACAGCACCAGGAGAAACTCCAGACCACAGCCTACGGAAAGACAGGTAAGGAAAATAACATGTAATCATTGCAAGTTTCAATGGTAAAAAAAAAATGCTTTGGAACCTTATGAATCCTCAGAATGGTTTATGCTGGTTTGTGCTGTTCCAGCTGATGGACCTTCAGCAAATCTCAGCTGGTTGATTTTGCTATTTGAGATAAAGAAGGCTGATGGGGAGAGCAGCATTACAAAACACAACATACTGGTACCAGCATACATTTTACATTGTAGTAATATTTCACAATATTATTATAATAATATAATACACTTTTGCTGCTATTGAGGTGAGATACGGGTAAGGTTAAGGACAGGTTTGGTGGTATGGGTAGGATTAAGGGTGGGTTAAGGTGTAAGGGATGGGTCAACAGTGTAATTATAAATGTAATTACAGAAATTAATTACAGATGTAATTACCTGCAGGTATTTTAAAAATATAAGTACAATGTAAAAACATATGTACACAATAAGTGCTGTACCAAATGATTAATTTAAATGTAAGTACATGGTAGTTAAGGCCACTTAATATAAAGTGGGACCTTTTTTTTACTAGTGGGTGCAGGGCACTATAGTTCATTTATGTAAGTGAGGATAGCAAAATAAAATAAACTGTGACATATTATACCCAAAAATTCTTCATACAGTGGACTACCAATAAAATTGATAAATTTGGGACCATAAATTATTCAGACACTTTGACCATGCCATGTTTTGCTTAATTGTCATATGACATTATCAGAATGAATTTGTTCTGACACAGTTTAACTCTGAGTTCGTGTCATATTTTATTACCATTTTCTAAACTATAGCGAATAAACTGTGATAATGAAATGTTGAAGGTGTCCCCTGGTCCAACTTTATATGTAATTGTACACCTTGCCGGTGAAAAGCAGCAGTACGAAAGGAAAAATAATCATAAAGAATGTGATGTTTATATAGATACAATTGAAATCCAGCCAAAAGGACATGAGAATGTGATATTTATATAGATGCAATCTCTGCCTCCATCCATCGCCATCTCTGAATATACCCGACCCACGAGGCTATACTTTAAAAGCGGAAAATCAATGTTAAAGGTTACAGAGGGAAAAAATGCATGTACACATGAGTTTTATTGTGTATGTGTATGCATGCAACAGATCAGAATGAAAAGAAAGAACACGCATGTCTGAGGGAAGAAAGGAAAGGAATGAGAATAAATGATAAACACATGAAGATGAGGTTGCGATGAAGGGCGCTGTTGTATAAGTGAACGTTAGTGGCTCAGCATTGATTTGCCTCTGATGTCGAATTGAAATGGGAATGAGAGAGGGTGGTTTAGAGGTGCACCGCAGTGGGAAGAGTTTCGAGGAAGAGATGGAACGTGTGATTTCGGATGCACAAGAACTAAAAGGATCAGTTCGCTAAGAGAAACGGAGAGAGATTGATATTGACAGAGAACTTGAACAGAGAAGTGAACTTGTGCAGAGAGCTGAGTGATGTGGTGTAGCACAGGGTGTTCTGACACTGATTACACATTACCATGCTCTCACACATTCAGCAGCAGGAAGCGTGACAGGATACTGTTGCTTATAGCACGGGTAGTGTTAAAAAGACAGTTCACCCAAAAATGAAAATGTACTCATCCTCAAGTTGCTCCAAATCTGTGTGACTTAATTTAGTTAAAGTGTTATAAGGCATAATCCAAACCAACCAACCAGGTGTTTGAGGGAGTGAATCACAACATTACAAACTTTGATTTGAAAATTGGACAAAATAGAAGACTGTGTACTGTGAAGAAATTCCCATTGTGAATGGGATAATCAAATTAAAAATGTTGGTGAAATAGAAATCTATTCATTTGAAGTCGTTGAGTGTACCTATAGAAACAATATAGTTTACGTTTATTGGAAAATATGCATATATTTTATCAATATTTTAAGTGTTTTGATGGAGTAGGAAGACCGACTCTGATTGGTGGAATTTTCTGTACAGCATCATGGGTAATGTAGTTTTAAAATGTCATTTCATAATGTTGTTTTTCACCTGGAATTCCACTGTTGAACACAGCTTTTAAAAATAAATTGAATTAATTTTCTTCCAAGTACCATACCATAAAAGTACCATAAAATCATCATAAAAGTGGTTAATATAATTTGAGCGCAATAATTAAAGTCTTCTGACGCCAAACAAAGTCCCTGACTCATAATCATCTCCTCCAGTGGGCCATTAACCAGAGAACTCAAAAATTAGATCAGCGCTGTGAACTGGATTGACCAATTCATTGTGAGCAATCAAAAGAATGATTCATTCGGACGTCATTATCTGTTCTCTCATTAATGCATCAAGGAGAACTAGGGTGGATGTCAAGATTTTTAGTGAATAATGACATAATTTTGTTTATTAATAATTAATTGTATAATTATTCCAAGTCTTCTGAATCCATATAATTCGTAATGACCACATTTATGATACTTTTATGCTGCTTTTTTGTCGTTTTCATAGCTTGAAAGCCTCAGTCACCCTTTATTGTAACTGCATGGAAAAGTGCAACCAGCTTAATTGTTCATGATTGTCCTTTTGTGTTCAACAGAAGAAAGTAAGTCATACAACTCTGGAATAACATAAAGGTGAGTAAATGATGAATGTTTTCATTTTTGTGGGTGAACTATTCTTGTTTAGAAGCGCTAGAACCACTTAGAACAGTCGGCAGGTCATTATATTCCAAATACGTGCGTTTAGACATGCCTCGACATACACAATTGTGTTTATTTAAGATTAAACTGATCTCCTCGGTATACACACAATTGACGGATGACCTTTTCCAACCAAGTTTTGTTTCAAACAGCACCCGATGCCTAATACAGCGTGAAATCGCACATAGCTTCGGATGACACATGTAATCCTTTGCATTTAATGTTTGCATTTCAGTTTGACAGCGGGCTGTTTCTGTGACTTTTTCTCTCCCAAACATTCACTTTGCTTTATCTTTATTACAGCAGTCCAACAACGTCAACAAAATTACACTCTTTGGCCGGTGAAATTAAGTGTATTCTTCTGAAAATGAATGCTGAATACACAGCTCTATTGCTGGCGGTATGAATTGAATTTGTCTGATGGGGTTCTCTTTATTTGATTATGAAAATGGACTCAAGTCAAACAGCATATATTACCATGCTGTATTGCACCTGAATAACTCTTCTAGACAGTGTGTGTCTTTATCTCTTTCATTGCCATTCTATCTGCCTCATGTGCACGCACACACACACACACGCCACATAATGCACAGGAAGGGCCGGCAAGCATGAATGCAGTCGTTTAGGAGCTTTAGATTACTAACGCTTTAATAAAAGGTCAAAGCACGTCTTCTTTTTCCCCCAAAGCTGCACTTGCAAATTAAAATGTATTTGAGTATCAGTTCTGCAGGTTACAGAAAGGTTAAACAGGCCTGATTAAGGACCGCCTGACATCTTAGCACCTACTGGCGAGAACTAGCATCCATTAAATATTGGAAAGATTTCAAACAATTTTAATTTAACCCTTTGGGCAAAGATCATTATTTTACTTGTAAGATTGGACTGATTTTCTGACAGCTGGTAGTTTAGTGTGATTTGTGGTGAAAATCACTTCATAATATCACCTGAACATTTTTTTCTGAATATTATTATATTTAAATTATATGTTAAATACACTGAGTTTAAAAGTTTAGGGTAAGAAAGATTTATTTTATTTTTTAAAGAAATTGAAAATTTTTATTTACTGTTCAACACTGATAATAAGAAATGTTTCTTGAGCACCAAATCAGCATATTAAAATGATTTCTGATCATGTGACACTGAAGACTAAAGTGAAGATTTAAAATTGCATTTTAAAATATATAAAAATTGTTTTTTTTTTAACTGTAGTATATATTACAGTATTATACATTATACAATATTCAAACAAATGCAGCCTTGGTGAGCATTAAAGACTTAAAAAAATTAGCATACTTGGCCTGCTAGCTTAGCCTATATTCTATGCAAATGTTCTATTATGCCGTTTTTTATGTTTTAATTACACATTTTAATGTCTCAAACATATGTCAGTGTTTCCGAGCATGTTAAATGCATCCATATTTCACATCGAATACCACTAATCCACCCTTTAATAACTCCATCAGTTCATTTATCCCTTGTTCTTTAATGATCATGTAACTCCCTTTCTCTCTCTCATGCCTTTTTGGCTGGATTTCAATTAGTTTCAAATCTTATCAGGATATTTTAACTGTCAGCACAGTTAATTATGTGATTGTGTGCACTTGTGTATTTGTTTATTGTCCGTTGACTTAAATATGCACATGACAAACCGCACACAAATCTTTAGCCCTTTTTATGTATCCATTGTCCTTTGTTCTCATTATTCATTCTCTCCTCCATAATGACCCTCTTTGATTTTCTCTCTTATCACATAACAGAGGCTGCAGAAATCCCTCCATGTTCTGGGAGGCGGAGAAAAACCTTCCAGTCACCTCTCGCTCTGTTCCCATTCTCATTTCCCCTCCTCTGTCGCTCACATTTGGATTCTAACTTTGGTAGATAACAAGTGCATTAAATATATTATAATGTCTCTTCTCATTAGAAAAGATCCAGCCACCGGGGCCCCTACCAGTTGGGCCCCAGCCATCAAAGTCACTGAGAATGTTTCCTTTTATTTCCACTGAGGATGTTTCCAGTCACAGCTAAAATATTGTGTTCATGTAAGCTCAGCAAGTAGGTTCATGTGGAGAAAGCTCAACATGATTTAAACACATGTCAAGTTCTGCATTTTAAACGTCCCTTGCTTGTTCATTTAATAAATATTTTGATTAATCTGATTATGCATTCAAATACCTCAAGTAGTGTATAGTATAAAGGAGCACTATAGGTACATTGGAAAATTTCACAGACAAAAAAAAAGGTTCATTGTCAGTAGCGTAGCACTGAATGGGTGCCGTCAGAATGAGAGTCCAAACAGCTGATAAAAACAAATAAACATA